ACAAAGGATGGTGGAGCAGGCATCTGACCACAATACCTCTCCCAGTTATTAACTAAGGAGAAGCGCAAAGAGAAGACAAGTGGGATCCCCAAAATATCTGCTACCAATTCACTGCCAGGGTAGATGGGGTCAGCCAAGAGAAGGTCATAATTTCCTTCTTGCAACTTCGTCATGATGGCTTCTGATTTCACCACACCATCCAAATACTGGATAGAAAACCGCAGGTTATCTTTCATCATGTCAGTTAATCTGATGTAGAGCTCCCAGTTGCTCATATAATCACTCTCATACAGACTGAAATAGAGGAACTCTTCTAGAGCCTTCTGTAAAGCCTCTAATGAGAAAGAGGCATTGAAGGGTTCATAGTGAAAGCGGGCAGGTTCATTGGTGTTCATGTACATTGATGAGCTCGGGACCAGTACAGTCACCTGGTGTCCCCTGTCAATCAGCGTCTCCAGAACAAGCTTCATGTTTATCCAGTGGCTGCCTTCAGTGTACCACACCAAAATATTTCCTCCATTTGCACACGATGTTGCACAAAGTACCAGCAGAATGCAGGCAGAGGGACGCAGCTCCATGGTGTCTGAATCTCAGCAGGAAAACCAGCTGTGGTCTGATCCTTTGGTGAAAGCATTCCAGGAAAAAATAATTATTAACTCAACAAAGGTGAACTCTGGCTCACTTCTTTCTGTATTGTATTAGTCATTTTACAATGGGTTATAAAGCAATGATATTAAAGTTGACAGTACTGAAAAAACAAGACTAATATCTAACTTGTATGAGAAATAAATAAATATGTCAGAGCCTGATGTTGTAGCTGTTAGTTGAGGAGAGAGAGAGTGAAGTAATACAAAATAATAGTCAAAGTATTCAAAAGGATCCACCTATAAAGACTGCAGAGATTTCAGATTTCTTTTTAATTTTACATAAAAATTCACAACAGGTATGAACAGATTATTGATTATTATTATGGTCCGAAAACTGGGCTTTTCTCAGTCCACTATGAGCAGCACATGGTGACTACAAGAAGGGAAAAAACTCCCCTTGTCTCTCTTTAGAATAACCACCTATAGATTTTTATAATGCCCCCCCCAAAGATGATTACTGGTTGAAGAAAACCCTAACCTGGATTTAGCTAAGAAACTGAGGTGTTTAACTGTGAGATATTGCAAATAAAACCAATAAAGATTTATTCCAGTCAAAAGATTATCTATATCTTATGTGTAAGTAAACAATTTAAAGTTAGCCTGCCACCTGAACCTGCCACCAACAGCTCTCTAGAACAAAATCCCCCTCGAAAGAAATTAAGTTAACAAAAAATAAATAAATAAATAAAATAAAATAAAATAAATAAATAAAGCCACGAGGAAAAACAAACAAGAAAGTAAGGAAAACAATCTTAGAGAAGGACAGGCCGCCAAAGTTTTACCGTTATATAACCTGGATTTAAGGCGTTAAAGTCGGGCCCCTGACGGAGATATGACCGAGAGCCCCCAAATTAAAGTATAAAGTATCAGTATGAATGTAACAGCTTGCACAACATGGGCAAAATGTCTCCAAGTGTAGCTTACCAGAGTAAAGAGACGGTGAATCCCGACAGCAGGTGACAGAACAGCGGCTCAAGACCGCCGAAAGTAAACACAGGCTGAATCCGCTAAAACTTAAGGTTATGTGTATAAAACTCTGGTTCTCTGAATAACATGAGTGAGTGTCTTACGATGAAACGCTTCCTGCGTGACATCATCAGAAGCTCAAATGCCATTATGCCAGCCCTTACAGGCTGCTAAGTGACGCCCATGTTAGGAGGGGCTAATGCCTCCCTCTATAATAGGCTGACATAGCATCAGATGTCATTCAAAACACAACACATAACCTTAAGTTCTTTCATAGCATTCCTTTCGTGTCTCACTATGGGAGAAATACCGACTCCCGGATTGCCAGACATGCTCCAAGTAGTTCATATAATCAATCTCGTATATGGAGAATCGGAGGAAATCTTCTAGAAACTCCTCCATCTGAATGAAAGAAACAAAGTTCTAATATATATATATAAACTAACAAAAAACAAACAACAACAACGCCCACCGCCCAAAAAAACAAACAAAAAAACCTAATATGCACCCCCTGTGGCTAGCCCAACTGCAGAAACACACTGGTGATCAACAGCTAGGAAACGGGCCTCCTTCCACTGGTTTAACACACAAAAAAAGAGTTTACAAATCAAAAAAAAGTAAAGAAGCCAAATATACAACAAAATAAATTAAACCTTGGATCTAGAGCAGAAGGCGTCACAGTGTCACGCCAAATCATCCTTCATCTGACTGCTCTAATTGAAT